GGTAAAGGTTAATTTGGAAAAGTCAGGGGCAAAAAAATGAATTTTTGGTAAGTTCAAGGATTAAAACGTGATTTCAGGAAAGATTAGGGGTGAAATCAGATTTTAGGAAAATTTGGGGTAATTTTTGGAAATTTATGTTAAAACGGGGCTTTTTAGGGATTATGGATTAAAATAGGGGTAAACAGGGAATTTTTGAAAAGTTCAAGGACAAAAGAATAATTTTAAGGTTCAGGAACGTATTCGGTATTTCTGGAAAAGGGGAAAGGTAAAACAGTAATTTTACAGCCAAGGTCAACGAAAGTCAACCCTGGGAGTCAACCGCTTACGTGTCGATCAACGCGACACGTGGCAGCCTCTGATTGGGCAGTCAACGCTGATGTGGCGCTGACTGGGTCGTCTACAACCTCCAGCAGGCGCGTGCGGCGGCGCGTGGGCCTCCGGTGATGGAGAGTGGCGGCGCGTGGCAGCGTTTCAGGCGACGGGGACTTCGGTTCCCAAGGTTTTGGGACCTCCTGAGCACTTCTACGAGGTCGGTTTTGCGAGAAAAGGCCTCTAAAGTGGTTTTTCGAGGGCTACCCGAATTTGACGGTGACCGGGAAAAATCACAGTGCTTCTCAGGCTAACCTAAGGGCGTAGGAAGGACTCAACCTTGCTCTGATTACCAAAATGGCTTAGAATTACAAGGGAAAAGAGAGAACACTCTCAATTTAATAAAAACACTCGAACTCAATTCTTGGATGCTTAGAACTGAATACAATGGGGTATTTATACTACTTCCTAAGGGACCTAAAAATTCATAAATTAATGGAAATATCTGAGGTGAGTAGTTGGGAGTTAAAAATTGGTGGTGATGGTGTTTCCATTGTCAACAATGGCAGCTGTTTTTTTAGAAGCTCTGGAGTCTTCCATGGCTTTTAAATTGGGTTGATGTTGGGCTTGTTTCTGAATCACTATGGATAAGATTGTGGAGGTCCTTCTCGATAAGGAGACGATGACTGGAGATGAATTCCGGGCTATCCTCTCGAAGTTTGTTGAGATTCCGGCCGAGAATAGAGTTCAACCCAAACTAACCGCTGTTACTGTATAATTAATTGTGCATACATTACATACATACTTGTGTACAACTTCATATCGTACATCTGATTTGATTTTGTGTAATATATATACTATTGTTTAGCTGTGCCAAACAATAGCTTGAGATCTGCTTGTTTTAAGCTCGTAAATTTTGGCTCCGCTTGTTTAATGAACCTTAAACATTAAACGAGTTAGGGGTGGGATTTTAAAACCGAGAACCGCAAAACCGATCCGGACCGAACCAAAAAAACCCGGTTCGGTTGGGTTATTGTTTAATATGTTATGAAATTACCGGTTCGGTTCTTTATCCTTCTTTTTCGGTTCCGGTTTTTGGTTCTTTTTTCAAACATGCTTAAAAGACCGAAAAACCGTATATGTTGAATTAATAAGGCTCATCTTACCAGTTCTCATGAAGAGGACTTAGGCCCAATCAGCCCAATTATATTTGTGTGAAAGAATTACTCCTTCTCTTGTCACCCTACGCGTACGGCATATCTAAATTCTATGAGATGAAATTATACAACTTTTATCTTACACCAGAAACTCATACTCGAATACCAAAAAAAAAAAGAAAAAAAAGAAAAAACCCTAAATTTATCTCTTTGCCCAGGCACCTGCAAATGTTTACAATAGAACACGTCTTGCAACCCGTCGCCGCCTTGCCGCCTAACATCAATTCGACCTAATTTCTTTCCTTATGTTTTCTGACACTGAGAGCTAAAGAGGATATGCAAATTCATCCCCTCGCCCCCTTCTTCGTTTCCCTCCACCGTCTACAGCTCGCAACCCGCCGTCGTTGGCCGGCGAGACTCATATACACAGATCTACAGTGGATCTGCAGTTTCAATGAGAAATGAAAGGTTTGTAAAAATTAATGAACCCATGAACATAATAGAGCATGACGAAGTTTGATTATGGTGGGTATGTAAATTTGAAATTCTGTTTGATATGTTTGAGTGTGAATTTATTTTTTATTTTGTTAATTAATTTTGGTTACAGACTTGCAATATATTGGGATTGGAAGCTTCAATCAGATCAAGTTTTGGTTTCTAAAGTTTGGTAAGAAAATTACAACCGGTTTATCAAATAACCGAGGACCGAACCGGTTTTACACGGTTCGGTTCTCAAACGGTTCCTTAAAATTTTGTCACAGTAACCGAAACGAAAATATCTTTGTAAAAATGGTTATGGTTCTTCAAAAATTATATAAGAACCGGACCGGTCTCATCCCTAAAACGAGTTGTTGGTGAAAATGAAATATCCTTTCGCGAACAAATTTGGCTCGACTATGTCATTTTAAACACATAAAAAACAAAAAAATCGAAATAAGCTCAGCTCAACTCGTTTAGTAAACTAGACAAAACGAGAAGACCGAAAATTTATGAAATTAGCTACCAAAAAATTTGACAAAAAGAAGACAAAACTTTGAATCCTTTGCTATGTTCGATGGAATCGTGCAGTTTGACTCAGAGTTTATAATAAGTAAAGATTGTGGTGAGAACACTAAATATGAGGATTTGTGTTTAAAGTACTTAACAACTTACAGGTAGCACCAGAGAAACAGTAAAAAAGTTGCAGACAAAAGAGAATTACACTGAAATCCTCTTGGCTCCTTCACCGTTCAAGAGAATCTGCTCGCATTAACATGAAACGAACACCATCAAACTCGATCGTACATATCATAATCTTTTTAAGATTTATGCAGGAACAGATGTACAAAAAGCGAATACGAGAGACGACATACTTAGAATGCTATTAAACATAGGAATCACACCAAGACCACTGACTTGGTGATGCAGCGCATCCCACATCGGGTTTGAAAGGAAACGAAGCAGGTCTTATATGAGGATGTGGATACCTTCACTAGTAAGACGCGTTTTGGTGGGTGTGTATTGAAGCTCAGCCAAGAACAAAGCCGTGCGGGTGGCGAAAGTAGCCCAAAGCGGACAATATCTTACTAGGGTCTGCATCAGTTGGTATCAGAGCCAGCCCATGTGTCAGTGGTGACCGTTGGGCCTACAAGGGGGTGGATATCTTACTAGGGTCTGTATCAGTTGGTGTCAGAGCCTTATATGAGGATGTGGATACCTTCACTAGTAATACGCGTTTTGGTGGGTGTGTATTGAAGCCCAGCCAAGAACAAAGCCGTACGGGTGGCGGAAGTAGCCCAAAGCGGACAATGAAGTAGCCCAAAGCGGACAATATCTTACTAGGGTCTGCATTACTTGGGCCAGACCGCAGATAATTTTTCTGTTGCTAATTATCATCCATTAATTAACTAAATGGACAGAGGACAAAATTTAGATTTGTATCGTTCGTCACGTCCCAGCAGAGAAATTCAGACCGGCTTGTCGGCGAATACGCTCTGGTATTAACATGTTTATCAACTCAGGGGATGCTCCTGCCAGCTGCCATCATGAAAAAAACTTTTGATGTCAAATACAAGGAAATAAATAGCTCGGAATTTTCACGACAATGTAACTAAACTGAACTCAGATCTCCAAAATATTCACTTTTCTTTTGCCTCATTTTTATAACATGAAGTTTATGACGAACATGACCAACACATAACGAATAAGTGCATGCCTCATTTTTCTAGTTATACTGTTGCTTGACATAAGATATTGTGGTTATAATAATTAATATATATATATCTAAATGAAACAATTGTTTTATTTTATTTATACTTAGAATTTCTCAAATGGTTATACATGTAATCCCCAAATTAACAGCACATAACAAAATATTTACTACAAAAATTATAAGATTTAACAACGAATATTTAAGTTTAAAGAAAAAAAAAACAATATTTTGTGTAAATATAAATATAACTTATAGATCAATAATTTTGTTTTTTTAAGGATCTTTACACAGTGAAATTTTTTAGATAATATGAACTAATTTTGTTCAAAGAAACCTGTTAAATTAACTTTTTTTTAATTATAATTAAAAATGTGTCATTCAAAATATATGAAACGGAATTAATCAACATCAATTTTTTTTTTTAATTAAGCATCGATCCATCAGTTTCAAGGTTATTTTATTACTCACAATTTCTTTGGAAAAGTGGGAAATTCTATGTCCTGTAGTCAATTTCATGGTTAATTTGTGGGGGAAGAAAAATTATTTCGTAGATTTTTACTTTGGCAAGATTCCTAATTTATTAGTTTGTTTAAGAAAATAAAATTAATTTAACCTTGAATTAAAAATTATTTAAGAGAAAAGGTTTGAATTGTGCAGACAGAGACGCATGGTTGAAAGCACTGACTTTAAGAGTGCCACATCCACCCTCATAGCACAGTATTTGGAACAGAAAACAAAAACATCTTTAGATACAACAAAAAGATAAGATTCAAGCAAAATTATGTCTTCACGTTGATTCCGATCCTCATCTCAGTTGTGATCTACTGTAGCGGTCAGCGGCCATCGATAATGATTGTATCGAAATAGGAAAAGATGGGCCCATCTGCAAAATTCTCGAAAACGAATTCAGTCAAGAACGGGAAGTGATGCATAAGGCAGTAATACTAATAGCAACAATACTAGTCGAGATATATAGTATACAGTATATGCAAGTGAAAAGATAAAAGCGCGATGAGTGCTCCACTTACCGTGCTGCAAATGTGGAAGGCGTCCACATACCCAGCATATTTTGAACCTGCAACGAGGGTGGAGTAAGGACCAGTCGACAATTAACACTTTAAGTAGGATGGAAATGCAAGAAAGCATAACCAGTATGTACAAAATATATTTTTGTACTTCAAATTCCCATTGGCATGCAAAGAATGTGTTTCTTTAGGCAGACTAAATGTATCGATAATGTCGAGTATTATTTATCAAAACAGGCACATAATAATGCTTTTGGTTCAATGTACTCCACTTACTCTTTTTCAAACCAGCAGGTTTTGCAAGTAAAAGAGCATTTACAAATGCACCAATATTGTCCCTTAAAGCATCCTCTGTGAAGCTAAGCTGTGAAGTGTTAACAAGCAAGAGGAATCAGAGTTGCAGCGTGATAACCATGGATTAAGTAGATCAAAAGGCTCATCTTCAGATAATCGTAACATGGGAAAGAAAACGTACCTTCCCCAGTCCTACATGTACTATCGCGGTTTTGTCTTTCTTGAAACGAATGCTCGGCACTTTCGCTTCTTTGACAGTCCGGGTTATGTCATTGGTTAATGTACCTTTCTGCATATTAAGATGCTTTTCAGACATTATTGCAACCTATTAGAACTGTCAAATGACAAGGTGCGGATAAAACTGACCTTGGTGTCTGGCATTAATTGTTTAAGATATTTTGATAACTGCATAGAAATTATAATTAGATACAGAATTGGATAGGATCAAAACATCAAATTTATGGAATTCAAAACTCTAAACCTTTTTCACATGTTCCATCATGGAAGGAGTAGCAATACACTTGTCAAAATCTACTTTGACTTGACCTGCGTCGAATCAAACTAAAACTATTGAAAAATGTTGTATGCCAAAATTTCTAGCGGTCAATCTTAGAAATGTTTTACTCAATTAGAAAGATTTACACCTTTTGAGCTTTAGCATATTCAAACATAAAAAAACCGAAGTCCAATAAAGATAATACTTACTCATGGACGCGCAAAATGTGGTTTTGACTTCAAATAAGGAAAAGGCAAATAAATCTCCTAGGCTCCTATATAAGTTTATATATGGTAAGTTGGTAAGTTGTCATCAGAATACTCTCAATGGGAAATTCGGCTTGAGGGACATAACAACATAAACCAAATAGACACTCTTGATATCATTCCTTGTTTGGTAATGCCATTACTTATTTAGTGGAGGATATTTCACCCGACTAGGATTACGCCTTAAGACCTTTTGTTTTACATGTTAATGTATACCTATTAATCATTCCTCTTCACTAAATGAGAAAAAGTGGAGGGTTTGTCAAAGAGAATGAATTTAACATCTAAAGTATTGAAGTCAGGAATAAAATGCTGATTCGCTGTATGCCTGTGTGCACACAAAATATCTTATGCCAACACTCAAAAAAGTTATTTAACAATAACTTGTAAGACAGTGGTAAATCACCAGTCCGGATGCTCTCCACCAGTTCTTGGCCGCCAACAATATCGGCTCCAGCATCTCGAGCCTCATCTGCAGCAGCTCCTTCCGCAAAGACAGCTACTCGATGTGTCTGATAACAGTCCAAGTTATCAGACATTTATTGGCAAGTTTTACTGAAGATTACAACATCAACTGCAATTTAGTAGTTTTACTAAAAATTATTTTTACCTTGCCAAAACCATGTGGAAGGCACACAAAACCCGCCAGCTTCTGCTTGTCAACAGGAGAACAAAAGGTTTAAAGATAAATTCATATCACGTATTAAGTGTAATAATAAATGACTTGGTGTCAAATACAATTTTTTTTAACAGAATCCTATGCAGGCAGAAAGGATAACAATAATGCAATCTTCCAGCATCCGCCAATAGAACAAAGGCCTTGGCCAGATAATCATATAATATATAGTACACACAAACACCGTCCCGCAAAATCACTAAATTGCAAACTAAATTGCAAACTCATAGTAAGAACACGAGAGAGAGATTCACTCTTGTCCTTGTCTTTTACTTTTCTTTACTGCATCTCCAGCCCAGGTATTTAACAAAAATTATCAGTTGACACCAATTGAAAAATGAAGATTGACTTCAGAATAACAGAATTCGAGGAAAAGCTTCAGTGTTCTGTAAAATGATGAATACTTTCCAGTCAGCAAAATACCAAGGATTACAACAACAACAACAACAAAGCCTTTTAGTCCCAAACAACAACAAAATACCAAGGATTAGCTTACATAATTCTAACAAATTTTATTAACAGATTGAATAGTAAGTTGTAACTGTAACATGTTTCTCACTTTGGTCTCACAATGAATGGACTTTTGTATTCGAGCTTTTTCAATGGTGTAGATGACTTACTTAATAGGAACAGAATAATTAGGAACATGACTCCTCTTATGTTTCTTGACAGAACACCAAAACCCCAGGTTCAATATATAAGCAATATCTTTAATACTAAGAAACAAGAAAAACACAATGCTCATACCAGATCAGTTCGCCGCAAGTCTGGATTCATTCTCACATGTGCTTCTAGTGTTTCATCAAAAGTTTTCCTGGCACCAGCCTGTACAATTGCTAAAATGACAGCAAATAAAACCACTATTAGTATCAACTCGAGGTTAGATATGGGGCCAAACCATTTTATGCACCTTCCTTTCTCTTATAAGAAACAGAGAATTTATTAAAATAATTTAAAATGCTACAGTTATTGAAAAGATGCCCATTAAAATGATGAAACTGAAAAACCATCTCCATCACGTCAAATCGCAAGTCTCAGAACAAACAAGTGTTTGAAATGTTTATGACTCCAGACCCATGATGCTGCCCTCAACTTAACCTTATTACAACATTCTAATACTGTTTGTTTCTCATCATTAACTAAATTCTGTTCTTATATTTCATCCGTACATATAATACAAGGGGCCTCAAGAGACAACCGCTCTTCATAAAATCATACGCTTTCAAACAAGAACATCCTAGATCAGTTGTAAATAGATACAAGCACGGCTATGGAATCACCGTAGAAGAAATGCCATTTAAAACCTTATATCATAACTGCTGCATAGATGAACTCAAGAAACCAAGTGATGCCTTCGGATTACACACCATTTCAAATATAAAAGAATACATGAATTTCTTCTTTGTATCACAAGAAAGAAAAGAGGAATCTCAACCAATATCAGCAACTACAAAAATTGTTACTTGATGCAGAAAACTTCCAATTTTTATTAGCAGGAAGAAAAAAAAAATGAAGAAAATTATTGTGGTAACAAGGAATTATAAAACAAGTGACGAATAATAAAAGATTAAGGAACGAGATCATCTGCGCAGTAATCCTCTCGAAATCTGCCCTGTTACACACTCTGAATGAGATTACACATTGATTAAGAATTCTTATTTCCCTCAAATAAATGTACATACAGCAACATACATATCCCAACCAAACACATTCCCAAATTAACTTTATCAAGCTGAAAACTACAAATGCACCTTGGATCATGATAAAACCAACAGAATAGACAAAAGGGGTGAGAGAGGAAGACGAAAGAACCGACCTTCGCCAGCTGAATAGCCTCCTTGAGATCGTAAATGACCTTGCCTTTCTTCTTACTGTTTCGATCAGTATTCTCCTCCTTAATAAGCTTTGGGAAGGGCAAAGCCACGTCCTCCTCCTCCAGCCTCAAATACGCCGAAGCCCCGTGCTGCCTGAACTCCTCGATCTTCTTCCTCTCCCTTTCCAACCCCTCGTTCCAACCCGCTGTACCTTCCTCTCCCCTTTTCGTGTACTCGGGCAACGGGGCAACCCGGGTCGGGTAAGAAACCGGGGTAATCATGGGTGCGTCCTTCATGTACCGCATCTCATCCCGAGACCACGACCGGGTTTCCCGGTTGACGGGATCCTGGGAATCCGGCGGTGAGGTTTGTGTTTCAGGTGGGGGTTTCTCCAGATTTTCTTCGGTCGGTGGAGGTTTAAGCCTGGCTGGGTACGAAACGGTCTGGATATTGATGGGCTGCCGTGGATTGGCGACTTTCGGGTCGGCGTTCGATTCGGGGTTTGGAGACGGTTGGGGCTCCGTGGAGAAGCGGCGGCGAACGAGTGAGACCAGGTGGCGAGGTGGTAACGGTGATTCGCCGGAGAAGCAGCGGCGAACGGTTGGAGAGAGCAGGCGTTTGAAGGCCGCCATTTTTCTGTGTGCGCGGAGGTGATTTCCGGTAATGTAGTCGCAGACTGAGAGGTAGTGGGGTTTTAGAGGAGGGTTTCTATTTTATTTATTTATTTATTTATATTTATTTTGGGTTCCCTTTTATTTTCTATAATTTTCTCCAATTTTATCCAAGGGTATATTTGAAAAAATGCAAGTTCGAAAGGTAATTTAAAATTGGGTGTTACTATTCAATACATGGATCACTACGGTTTGGAGAGACAAAAGATCTTCTTTCTAAAGAGATTCCATTTGAAACTCTTATATGTCCAAGGTTCAATATTGAAAGAATTTCAGAGGTTTTCCCTGACTTTGTCCGTGTCAACCAAAAAGTTTCCGCTATTGATGTAGCCTCTTGTCAGCTTTCCACCATTTAAGAGTCGCTCAGAATTGGTCGATCTGCGGATAAACACCCGCTTGAGCAATTACCCGCTTTGTTTGGGGCTCGGAAGTTCAAAGTTGACCAGAAAAAAAACACATGTATGACTGGCATAACATCAACGATTAGATTCAAAAAAGCATAAGCTTCGGGCAATTTCCCGAAGAAGATATTCAATCGGTTAGAATAGAAGTTAAAGAGGGTATTTATGCTATTAAAAAATCTCCGGACCCGTACCAAAAAAATCGAGATGATTCGGTTCGGTGATTTTTATTTCTTGGTTCGATTCAATATTCGGGACTATCAGAACGATTCAGTTCGGATCTTCATATATTTCTTATTCTTTTTAATTTTTTTTCAATAATTATCTGGTTATATTTTAATTTTTATATGTTTAAAAAAAAGTAACAATCATTAATACTTTATCATATTGAATATTTTATTTTGAAATCAACTTTAAAAATAATTCTAAACTTTAGTTATTTGATTTTTATATGCTTTAAAAAAAAAAACCAATATTCATCAATACTTCCTCGTGTTAAAGACTTCTATACTCATATAAAGAGCCATCATATTTACTAAAATTAGTAGCAAAAAAATAGGTCAGCATTTAATGCAGCCCATAAATAGTAGTTTTATTATTTTTCTTATTTTTTCTTTAAAAATCATAAAATTTAATTTATAAATACGATTTAATATAATCATACAATTTAATTTATAAAAATCGTACGATTTAATTTTTTTATTTAAAAATACGCTTATATATATATAGTACTTTTTGTAATAAATTGAATAAAATGCTAAACAATTTTAATACTTAATTAATTGATAAATAATTTATAAATCTCTATTTTATTTAAATATGTAATTTTATTTAAAATTATTTTAATATAGCCAAATTTATTTAGAAAATCATATCGACCCAACCAGTTCAACCGACTGGTGTTGACGGATTCAATAGCAAATATTTTATTCAAGTGAACTAGACTGATTATAAACCAATTCTTTGTCCATCCGGGGGGACTGTGTCCAACAAGGTTTAATTTAAAAAACGATGGGTAAATCTTGATTTGTTTATTTGTATATTTAATTTATAACACAATCGTAATATTGTTTTCCCGTGCATCGCACGGGCCACGCACTAATTATTTAAAATCAACTTTAAAAGTAACTCTAATTTTTGTTAAGTCTAAATTTGTGAAACTAATATTACAAATTTAAAATTCAAATAAAATATAATATAGTTTTTTTTTAAAAAAAAATATTCTTTAACCTTTTACACCATTTTAAATATTTTTTTATAATAGGAAAAGTTCAATTGTTAATCGTCTTACTCAACAAGAATTAAGCCGGGGTGTTCGCACTACAGGTTTCATGCCTTTATTTTATCTTCCATTTTCCATTGTTAGCTTTCTTTATTCGCTTTGGGCCAAATTCAAAAACATCCTTTTGCTCCTCAGCCTACGGGGTATTAGCAGCCGTTTTCAGTTGTTGTTCCCTTCCCAAGGGCAGGTTCTTACGCCTCACGAACGAAGCGAAGTGAAGAAAAGGAATAGTAAACCAAAGGTAGGTCTTCAACAAATGGCATCCCAAGCGCCCTAACTCGCGATCCTTATTATCTAGGATTAGCCATCGGCGAATCAGCTTCTTTCAGTTGACCGGTTTGGATAGTAATTCTTCCGTTGTGGTGGTCATATATTTCTCTCGGGTATCCGTGTTGTATTCTTTAAAAAATTCTAGCCAGAAAAAGACAACTGGAGTATATTCTGATGTGTATAGTAGTGGGGTGGTATGGCTTATTCAAATCCGAATTGGAGAATAAGAAGATTGGCTGTGAATAGGGGTGTTCATCGGTCGGTTCGGTCGACCGACCGAACCGAACTACAAAAACTGAATTAACCGAACGAATATATGTCAAACACCGAACCGACCGAAATATTCTCTTAAAACTGAAATGGAACCGAACCGAATTATTCGGTCGGTTCGGTCGGTTAACCGAATTTTAAAAAAAAAAAAAATTGGGACGGAGACGAAAAGTTAGGAAGGTTTTCTTCCTTGGGCCTTGACGGTGAACAGAGTGCACGGAAAGGCGGCACCTCCAAGCTCAACGCCCTCGACTGATGTGTCGACGACGGGCGTCAGTCCTTGACCGGACCGAACCACGTACATACGCGGATTTGGCAAAGGAAAAGCGATTGGCAGCTGAGGTGGTTTGAAGTGGATATGCGGATTGCGGAGCGAGAGATTTGGATAGGGGCGATTTCGCGTGGAGAAGGAGAAGATGAATTGGGGATGTCGACGGAGTTTTGGACAAAGGAAGAAACGGAGCAGCGATTCACAATTTCACATTCACAGATTTAGGATCTGATTTTAGTTCAATTTAGGGTTAGCAAATATTATATAATAATATATAATATATTATTATTATATATAGTGGGTTAGCAAATATTATATTATAATATATAATATATTATTATTATGATATATAGTATAGTACAGTACTGTTGGGAAAAAGTACGTTGAAATTTCCATGAAGTCGGATCTATAAAAAGTGAAATAAAAACGAAAAATTGGACACGCCAAATTGATAACGGAGTTCGGCCAATAATGCCTACGTCTCCGGACTACTGCAGATATTTTATTAGGAGAAAAGAAAACACTCGTGTTTACAAAACACTCGTAAACTCACTCACAACTCACAACTCAAAAATACACAAAAGCTAAATTTTTATTAGCTCTTTCTCTCTCTCTTTTCTTTTTGCTGAAATCCTTTGACAACCAGTCGGGCTTTGTATCTCCTGGAACCATCATGGTCTTCCTTCACCCGATACACCCATTTGTTGTGAAGTGCTTTCTTTCCCATGGATAACTTGACTAGTTCCCATGTCTGATTTGAGATCAAGGACTTCATCTCGTCCTTCATGGCAAGCTCCCACTTGCTAGCATCCGGGGTTTAACAAGCCTCCTGATAATCTTCAGGTTCTCCTCCATCAGTCAACAACATGTAATCCATGTATCTCCTGTTAGGCACATAGGGCCGAGAGGACCTTCTCAATACAGGAGTTGGAGTAGAAGGTTATGATTGCTCACCGCTTTCTTCATTTGATTCCTTTGACTGAGGATTCCTTACTATAGGAATTTCTGTGATATCTTCAACCTCTGCATAAACTGGCCCACTCAATTCTGAGTTGCTGGCACTTGTGTTATGCCGGTCTTTGTACATCACTCTTTCATTAAAGATGACATCTCTGTTGCGGATCATCTTTTTGCTTTCATCATCCCATAAGCGGTAGCCAAACTCATCTTCACCATAACCAAGGAAAGTACATTTCCTAGATTTTGGATCAAGTTTGTTTCTACCTTGATCACTGATGTGCACGTATGCTACACACCCAAAAACTCTAAGATGTGAGAGTTTTACTTCTTTTCCGCTCCATACCTCTTCTGGTAACTTGTGATCCAATGGTACCGATGGACTTCGGTTGATCAAGTAAGTTGTTGTGTTGACTGCTTCTGCCCAGAATTGCTTTGGTAGGCCTGACTGCACACGCAAACTTCTGGCTCTTTCAGTCAACGTTCGATTCATACGCTCAGCTACACCATTGTGTTGAGGCGTACCAGGCATCACTACAAGAAATCTGCCAAAAAGCGACGAAATTCATGTGACAAAAAATAAATCGTCACCGTATGTTGCCTGATGGTGACGAATTTAAGAAATCGTCATTACATCATTGCATACGACGACGATTACTACATTCGTCATCTTAGAATTTATTTTTCGTCACATAATGGTATTTTTCACGACAATCCATATCAATTCGTCACATATACATCTAAATTCGTCACATGTATATAACATGTGACGAAATTAGTTATGACAAACAAAATGTCGTCACTGTTGTTGTTATTTAAA